CCCCTACCCACTTTGATGCATTTTTCAAATTTCGCCTTGGGGCGGAGTTATCTTTTCACAAGGGGTGTTAGATACACTTTAACATTGACTGGATTGACGAGCTAACGGCTGGTCAGTGATTTTACTTCCATCAAAAATTGCATAGTGGTTCATTTAAATGCTAATTAATAAACACTGATGGTTTTACATTACACAGTAACTCCAGCAGAAATATTATATAACCCCWCTTAAAAGACCTGAACTACTTTGTAATGCTGAGCACGTCGGAGTTTACACAAGAAATGGAATTCTTTGTGTTTTGTCCCAATGTGTCTTGGTATTCTGCATTATGCACCTCAGTGTGTGTGTGTGTGTGTGTGTGTGTTGTGTGTGTGTGTTGTGTGTTAGTGGGGGGTTGGCTCTGAAGACAGTGACACATACAAAGGTCAGCAGGATGGCTCGCAGTGATCTTCGAATGAGAACGGCCCCCCTTGCAGCTCAGCGAGGTTCTCGCTCAGTAAGAAAAAAGGGGGRAAAGAAAGCGGCTAGGCTGCCAGTTTAGGTCAGTGCGTGCTGACATTTCCAACAGAAAACAGAACACGGCGACAAGGAAAAGAACAGAAGCATACATAATGGCTTTAAGAGCAGGGGGCCTGTCTGGGACGATACAGGGAAAGCAGACGAGAATGAGAGGAGAGAGGAGGTGTGAGGAGGGGACAGAGGATCACTGTGTAGCAGGACATTCTTATATAGTTCATTAGCTTCATAAAATCGCTGTTTTTTTGTATTGCTAGCACAAGTTTAGCAGTGTTGAGTATTGTTCCAGTAAAACATTTAAATGTTGAATTTATTAAGACTGCTAGCAGTGGTGTATGGCACTGACTGTCATGCTATTATTACTTGTACATTATGAGGAGGTGTAAACAGTWCTTTCACCTTGTAATTATTTTTTAAAGTAGGGTTGGGCGATATTGACAAAAAAGTAATCACAATTAATTGAAGTATTTAGCCGATAAGGATTAACATGACAATTAACCCTGGACCTCTGCATGCCCTCGTCACATGACCAATTCAAATCACTCTAATGGGAAAGATTTGCTCTCCATAAAATCTGTTCCAATTTGTGTCAAAACTTCAGGCTATAAATCTATTTTTAAATTGTGTTGATAGACCAAGTAAAAGTGGAGTTATGATAAAAAAAAATTACAGAACTTTTTTTAAAGTTCATCACA